GCGGTGTTCTTCCTGTGTTCACAGATATTTCCTTTGGCAGCTCCAGTTTCCTCCCACTTTGCAAATACATGTGAGTCTGGTGAGACTGGAGACTCAAATTTGCTCATTAGTGTGAATGTCAATGTGAGGGTGTGTGTCTGTACTTGCCCTGTGTGCACTAGTGACCTGTCCAGGTTGTTTCCATGCCATGAGCCCCGATGCATGCTGGGATTCGCTCCTAGTGTCCCTGAATAGATAGCCATGGAAAATGTATGAATGAATGCAAATGGCTACATCCTCAATGGTGTCTTATATTAGGTCCAGTTAGAGGCATTGGTGCTTTATGATCCTTGCTAGAGTGGAAGAGGAAATGTGTCACAGCCACCATGTTTGCCATATTGGCCGTGTGTGTGTGTGTGTGTGTTAGTGTGTGTTTGTGTGTGTGTGTTAGTATGTGTTTGTGTGTGTGTGTGTGTGTGTGTGTGTGTGTGTGTGTGTGTGTGTGTGTGTGTGTGTGTGTGTGTGTGTGTGTGTGTGTGTGTGTTTTAGGGTAAATGTGTGTGTACCCACTTGGCAGTTAAGCGTCATTAAAAGAGGGCGTGAGGGAGCCATCCAGCGGTTTCTTGTCATTAATGAAGAACAGCATTGACAACCGCAAGAACCCACAAATACACACAAACACTGTAAACATAAAGAGAAACACATATGCACACATCCAAATACACCCATTGACTGTTTGTCTTTGGCTCCGTGCTCACTGCTGGTCTCTGCTTTTTTCTCTCCTCCTTTCCGGGTGTATTAAGTGCGACGAACCCATAAACACACATAAAGACATGCACACACAAACAAACATCTAATTTAACAAAAACAACAATGCATGTGTGAAGTAATCTGGAGGACTTTAAGGTCACAAAGGGAAAACAAAGAGTGGCTCAAACTACAAAGAATGATTTCTGGTGGTTGATTCAAAGTAAAGCATGAGCGGTTGTAGCATAGTTTCCTCAAGCTCTACTCTGTGATAAAACCTTACAGGATGATGATCTAACAGTCAAATATGGTCATGGTGGGTGGGCCGTGAATAGGTGAAAGATAGATGAGGAAGTTGTGTGACAAGCCGTTCAGTCACCCCCTTTACTTCCTGGGCCAACAACCCTCATCACTTCCAGGCGAGTATCTTAAAGAGGATGTTGTGTGTTCAGAGCTGCTCTGCACTTTCTCAACCACAGCTCTATCACTTCAAAAGCTTAGCCCCTGAACTGTTTGTTTACAAGCTGCACAGCATTGATTGTATGGCAAACAGTCTGTAGGCTGGAGTACAGCACATACAGCAACACAAAGAACCCCTGGATATCAGTGTAGGAGACAGTTTGAACGCTTTCTCTGCTCAAGGCTGTCATCTAGTGGCACTAAATTCAATGGAGCTGGAAAAACATGTACTGAAGTTGTTGTATCATTGATTGGAAAATAATTGGAGGATCTTTAATCACAAGATATACTTCTTGCTTTTCTCTGACTGCGTCCTCTTCATTCCTTGTCTTCCTCTTTTGCTTTCTCTTGAGCATGGTTTAAGTTTCACACAGCTGTGGTAGATGGGACCCCCTGTGGTGATTTGTAGCACCATAATGGCTCATCCTCTGCGGTGCGTCTCCTCCCAGATGGTGAGATAACAGCTCTCACCTTACCTCGACCAAGTACTAAAGGGGCTGTGGAGGGTTTTCCAGGGGAGGATGAGGGTCCTGGGGTGACCTGAGGGCGAGGGAGGCAAAGAGAGAAGGGGTGGAGGACTTGCAGGTGTCCAAACTCCTCTGGCTACGGACAGGTGCACTGCACCTGTGCCACATATGTTTAGTCACTCACTCACATGTGTGTGTGTGTGTGTGTGTGTGTCTGAAGTCTGGACACTCCTGAATACCAGCTGTGCGCTGTGAAGTTTCCAACTCTCCCCTTCACACACTAACCACCCTGCCCCCTAAAACACTCAAACACTCACAAAGTCTTCTTTCACATACAGTCACCCTGTGTAACACACACTTACATATACATTTCATGCACCCAACACACATCTGCCAAAAAGGTCCATTCACGTATAAACTAGTGTTACAGGTCAATAGGTGTTTAATCATTTCCTATCCATCACAGGCTAATAGATGTGTGGAGCATCTATCCATCACAGCTAACTAGGACTGATAAGGACATCATGACAGTGACTGCAGGGATTCTCCCTCCGGGTTCGAGTGGAGTGTGTGTTGTGCATGTGTTTCCCTCTCCATCTAGTTGTTATTTAGTGTGACACTTGTAGAAATGCACTTATTCACTTTGTTGCAAAGAGAACTGATGCCACTTTTGTGTCTTATGGTAAATAGGACTCTTGTGGGGAAGCAGCTGGTTAGCTCAGCTAAGCATAAAGACTGGCCTGTTTACCCTGACTCTTTCCCAAGGCAACAAATCTATCTACCTGCACCCAGTCTTTATGCTAAGCTAAGCTAACTGGTGCTATTTTCAAATTTAGCATGCAGACATGAGAGTGGAACCGATCTTGTCTAACTCTCGCAAAAAAAATGAATAAGCTCATTTCCAAACTGATACCATTTATTGATATTGTTGAGATTGTTTTGTGTTTGTTTCTTCTGTAAAAGATTTCACCAGTGTTGTGTGCATATGCGATGCTCAAAATAAGAATATTTCTGACTTATATGTAGGTTTGTTGTGTATGTAGGTTGTGTCCCTTTTGTGTACCAGCTGATTCAGCAGTGTGAAGGTCTCTCTAAGACTTCAGACAGAGGGGAGTTTAATCAGGAGCCATCGTTCCAAAACAGCGGCCCTCTCCTCCTTCAGGGAGTTCATCTTTGAGAAAAAGAGAGAGGAGTAAAGGGCAGAGGTGAAATGGGTGAGGAGGTGAAGAGGAGGCTGGGAGAACTGGTGGAGGTGAGGTGGAGAGGGAAAAAAGATTTGGGAGAAAGAAAGAATGGAGGCAGCATTGAATCTCTGTTACAAATCACACTGGATAAATGTAAAAATAAATAAATACCTAAATAAATATATATGTGGACATATTTACACGGAGTATTAAAGATAAATATTGAAATAACAAAAGTGAAAAATGAAGAATGAAGTAAAGTAAAGAAGGGCCTAATTGTGTAATTAGTAGTGGCTGGGATATGACTATCATCTGCAGGTTAAGTCTCACATTATTTTATTGTCACCGAATTAAATCAGGAAACAGCTCTGCTGCAGTTAGTATCCAACATAAACCAAAACCAGATCTCACAAGTACACACATACACGCACGCACGTACGCACACACACACACGCAAACAGAATTTCCTCAGCGTCTGGACAGCATTACATGGTGTAGAGAGGAACCCCCCCCACCCCCACCCCCACCCCCCTCCCTCTCCCCCCTCCCTAATTATAGTCTGCATCATTGGAGACTGAGGGCTCTCGAGAACACATTTTATCACTGTATTGTGGCAGAGCAAACACACACACACAGCACTACTCAAACACAATAATAGACAGCGGCTGCATTAAAGCTACCATCGTCGACATAGAGGGGTCTTCTGTTGTGGCAGACATAGTACTCATTTACATGTGACAAGAAAGGAAATGCCAAGAGAGAGAAGACAGAAGTGATAAGTAAAGAAAGGCGAGGTCTCTAACTGTACTGCGGCATCATTTGATTTTGCTTGATGATGATAGACAACAAAAGGGCACTGTGGGAACTGTAAACAACATGCACCGCAAACGATGGCGAGCCGGGTATCATGTGATGGTGCCTGGAACTCTCTGCCTGTGAAGCAGGGCGAACGGGGAAGTGTGGTGGAGAGGCAGAGGCCCAACTGATAAACAGAGCGAAGGGGTAATGTACATAAAGGCCTGCTGCGTCGCTCTCAGGAGATGAATAATGAGCCAGGTTGCATGTAAACTGTGGTCGGAAAACAACAAAAGCTGCTGACTAACTGTAGTGGTGTGTGGTGAGGTGGGGACGCCCTGTCATTTGGGCTCCTGCCTGCACAGGGAGGCCTCTCTCGCCTAAACATGCTCCCTTTGTCTGAATAAAGCACCACTGTGGCTCTAAATGTAGCTGGAGATTCTGTATTTAGAGTATTTAGGTTCTGTGAGTGAGTAGCACCCTCTTTAAAAAAAAAAAAAGTCAATAAATAAAGTTTTTACAGTTACAATAAAGCCTGTAGTTACTGTAAAAGAGGCACATTAAAGGGATAATTCAGGTAATTTGATGTGGGGATGTGTGACATAGTTACACAAAGTAGATGCATGTGCTGCTGCGGACGGGGTCAGCAGAAGAAAACGTGAATATTTTCACAGCTTTATCTTGCAGCCAAACAGCCCTTTCCTTTCCAACTACATTTCCCCAAACATCAGACCACCGTATGACTACGCACAATAGACAAAAGTACCTCACACAACCCCATGTCAAATAACACAAACTACCATTTTAAAAGGCCCTGATAACATAGGGTGGTTATTATTCAGTAAATAGGAGGAAGTTTACATAAAGATCTGAAAAAAGTAAAGTACTACTCATATGATAACACTTTTATAATGTTTAATGAGGAGGATCTTTGTGAAGCATGAGAAAAATACCCCTGATGATGTCAGGTTTGAGTTTGAAAGACGTGGTGTTTACCAGGCATAAAGGTTTTAATGAAAGATGCTAAATTGCATTATGGTAAGTTTAGGATTCAGTGTTCTGGCAGCTTAAACTGTATCAAGGACCAAGGACCTCTGCTTCTTCAATTTTGATTCGCAACTTTGATTCTTTTCATTCTGTCTTACAATCTGTTTTATAGTCTTCCAACCAAGTTTTATAAAAGTGTACTACTAAATCACTGGAGTACCACTTTAACATTTGAGACTATATGAACATTCAAAAGTTATTTTTAAAAATATGAAAAAGAGCTGCATTTACCATCCCAGCAGTCAAGTGTCTACGTGTAGTAAGTGTCTTATAGTTTATTAGTCAGCACTTAGGAGAGGACACTCATATTTTATCCATTTATTTGAAAAGAAATAAGTACAGGCATAAAAATAATCATAATTTAGAGAAGTGAGAAAGATTTAAAAAGAGTATAATTATAACAAATACGTTTCAGCTTGTTTCCTTCTTTAGTCCACTGCCAGCCATGCCCTGATTTTTGTGGATGGTTGTTTTCTCTTTTCAGTAAAGACACTGAAGAGTTTTCCTCTGAATATCTTGAGGCCTCACTTCGTTTACACACCATTAAAATCAGATTTGTTGTCCTCCTTGCCACGTCTCTTGTTCAGTCCACTGAAATACTTCTCTCTGAAGGCGTTGTGTCCCTGGTAGGGGCTGAAGCGTGGGTCTGCAAGATGATCCAGGCTGTCCAAGTCCTGTAAAGAAGCAAACATGGAGATTATTGTAGTGAACTAACTTAACCGAACTTCCTTAAAGTGCTGCCAGTTTTCCCCAATTAGGGAAATTTATACAGCATATGGCCACATTATATACAGTGGAATATGATCTGGAATACATGTATTTATTTGTCATTGTGAGCATGTGCTGAAACTAAAACTTTGATACCACTATATTAATAAAAATGTCATCTGGATGTAGAAATTGAAACAGCTCTTCATTTTCCCAGTAAATGAGGCTACTCCCACCATATGCCAACACTAGCATCCCAAGGTTTGCATACCTTTTCCTTGTTTGCATGTAGGAACAGGACTGTGCTCGCATATATGAACGATGAATATGAACTGTTATGAATCCCTACAACTAAACAGTTTGTCTTGGCTGTAAGGTAGCTGCTGGTCAACGGAGGGATGAAGGGAGGGAAAGAGATGCTGGGAAGAGAAATAATGAGGTGACTTGAGTTGGAAGTGATGACTCCAATGCTGGGGCCTGTAATTTGTCAGCAACACCTCTCTTTTGCTTGCTGATACTGCCAAGTAACCTCAAAACTGTTTCCATGACCACTCTGAGGGAAAACTCCAGGTAACAAGACTGACAACCTAACCATGACCCCAATACAGGGACATGACTACAAGCAACTGAAAAACATTGGAAATAACCACTTTGTCATTGCCAAAAACCATACAGGTGGAGGGATACATATATTTAGTGTTAAATTAGGCAAATAACAAGTGATTTATGGCCACCAAACACATTATGTCACACCCCATAAATAAGAAAATGTGAGGGTTTTCTGCACTAGCTTAACACGAAACATTACCAGCAATTAGGCTGGCCCCTTTATTGTCAAAACACAGAAACAGGGTGGGTACATACAAATGTACCATAGACATGCAAACACCATTAAGTGCTCACACACATAAAGCTGTGAACCCTGGTGAATGAGTGCAGATAGGTGTGATCTGGGGCATATTGGGGAGGGAAAAACCTGAGAAAGATACCAGTCAGATAAGATCAAACAACTGTGTGTTTGTGTGTGCGTGTCATACGGGGCCCTTTATGGGAGCAATTTGGGGTTTTGAAGTGGAATGGATGACAGATCCAAAGATGGATTGTTTTCCATACTATGTGTGATTAAGCCATTTAGGGTTCCAGTATAAAAGAAATGAGCCAATCACAGCCATATGGTGAGGATTAACCCCAGACAGACAGAGAGACACCATCACTTCCACTGGGATGACATGTAAAAAACACAGGCCTATGCATACATGCATGTACATGACACATACTTATGTGGTTACATATACAAACAAGCCTATGAAACACACATAAAAACATCAAAGAACAGGCAGGCACACACATGCTCTCGTTTTACATAAACTAAGTCATATCTGCGTTGCTGTTCATGCTCACACATACAAAAACAGTAAACAAATTCTGCAGCACTCACAGCTTGGTACTGTGCAGATATGTTGCCATTTATAACTACGCAACCACAATGCACAACTTAAAACAATATATTTACGAAGTTATGCTTCCAATCAAACGATGGACAGAATTAAATTATATGGTCAACTCTGCAGTCATGCACACATAACAGAGGAATATGTAAGTTTTAAATCCTGTAGAATAACTTGTTTTTCCCTGCACATGAGCCGAGCAACAATGTGAGTAAATGTTTGTGCTTTATGTATGAAACAATGGCAATACCTGCAGGTTACATTCAGTTATGTACAGAATGTAGTGCAGAAATTAAATGCACACAACAAAAATCAAACATGCATCTCCACACATGTTCAAACCTTGGCAAGCTAAAACACAGGCCTTCATGCAAACTGCACTCTCCTTTATTCAATATGCCTACAAAATGTTGGAAAATCTTTTAAAATCTATTAAATTTAACTGCTTGTTGTATCCAACCAACAGTCAAACACCAAGTCTGTTTAAAGATATTCCATCTACTATCATATGACAGAAAAGCAGCAAGTCCTCACATGGGAGAAAGTGGAAGTGGAAAATGTTTGGCAGTAATCATTAGATGCTGACTAATTTTCTGTCAACCGACATGACTAACAATTTCAGCTTCATGGCAAACACACCTCTGGCTCCTTGATCTTCTCCATGGTGATCAGGCGTCGTGAAGTGTGGCTGGAGAGAGTCTGCTCACAGTTACTGATGAGCTGGAGACATGGATTAAGAGGAACCATCTCCTCACAGTATCTGGAAAGGACACACACACATACACACACAGTTATTAATCAGTGTCCATGAGGAAAGTGCAGAGAGGCCATATGAAGGCTGCTGGAACACAGAAACTAATCCTGTCACAATTACTACCTCACTTTTGCCAACTTTCTCTGCGGCCCACGCCAACATCTCTCTCTGTGCATGATTCTTTCTGTTTCTCCTTCACCGATCAGATCACAAAACACTTGACTGGTGTGGTGGAGCCACAGCTCATGAAGCTAACTTAGCTCCTTGTGTGCAAAGATGAAGCTGGAAAAAGTGACTCTGACCTGACAGGTCAACTGCTGACTCTGTCATCACCAGCCAGGCCAGGTTAAGGCCTATTAACAGCAGATGATGTATGTGTTTGCATATTTGTGTCAGTAGCACTCTCTCCTTCTAACCACCATCACAGTAGCAACAGTCCCGACTCAAAGCCAGATTTGCACGTCATTGTTTGTCTGCTCTGTTGCCATGGCCACATGTGGGCCTCTGCGGCGACGGGATGTTTGGTCGTCACGGTGACTAGCGGTGATGCAGCCAGGCGATAATTCTCTCCTGCCAATCAGGAGCCGTTAGTGGTGAGCCAGACCTGTTGAGATGGTGTTAACGTCTAACCGGAGGCAGGGATCGTCTTTCATCTCCAGAGCTGCTTATTTTTCTATTACAGTCTATGACTTTATAAAGGGCACCTTCACACAAACTGCTACTGCTCACTAACTCTTTTGTGTTACACTGGGTCAAACTTTTTCTTTCTCATAATAAGGATGAGTCCTGATGTATCAGAAAACGAAATACTTTTATTTGTCTCATAATAGTTTAACATCTAGCCAATTTAAACTTACTCTCAGTTTCACTACATGTAAAATCTGATCCAGAAGCAGTGGACAATGGCCTCTAGTGAGAATGCCGAATCACCAAATGAGTGATTGCCCAAAATGTCAGAGGTAAAAAATTATGACCTGAAAATGAAAACATGGCTCATTTATACTCGGTGATACAAGTATCACTTTACTTCTGACAACGCAGTGGCTTTATGTCTTCACTTCACTTGTTTATGCTGTAATCAGGTCACTTTATGGCTGTGATGACTGATACTCCATCGTCTGTCTTGATACTTTTTCTTCTGTCATTTATTATTTAAAGGGGAGAAAGGGAAGAGAGTTTAAGGCGTCTGACCTGATCTAGAGGCCGTCTTTTGCTGACAGGACTTTGTGTCACCTGTCATCACACACGTACACACGCACATGCACGCACACACACAGAGCCTCCCTATTCTCATGAGCCAGACAGACACACAGTCCCCACTGTTTCTATCACAGCCATGGCCGCAGATACACACATATGTGGGGGTGACAGAAACCCGATATCTCCCCTGTAGAGCCCCAGATTAGGCCCAGGAGACAGGCTACGTCTGGGCTTACACACACAGACACACACATCCAAAAACACACATGCGACGTGGGTCAGCCTGCAGACCACAGGGACAGACAGTTCACATATCTGACTTGGCTGGCCTCAGACGTTTATTTTGGCATGGTGCTCTGACAGGCACAGAGTCAAGCACCGGTAGATGAGTAGCAGAGACAAATGTGTGAACACGACGACGCACATGTATGAATGTGCTCATACGCGAGACCACACACGTTCATGCATCATACACATAAATAGACAAATGAAAAGGGATGTAAACAAAATTTGTTGGTTTACAAGGTGTGTTTGTACATGTGTTCTTTCACACTCACACACACACACACACACACTAAAAGCCAGAGGATGCATGATTATCTCATCGCCTTCCCAGTCTTATAATCAGTGACCTGAGGGAGTTCCAGCCCTGCAGGATTTTTCTTCCCCAAACGTCAGTTGCTGCTGCCGTCTGTTGTGGTTCATACCTTTACAGTCAAACACCTGCACATCGAGTCAGCACTTCACTTTCTGCTAATGCACAAAACTTTTAACAATGCACAACTTTGTTTCAGAGCAGACGTCTTATATGTGGCCCAAGTATAAAGGAGCTCACTAGCTGTCAGTTGTGGTTTACTGAGGCCCAGCTGTATGGGAGGGAAAACCTGAACACACCTGTATACTACTGTGTATCAACACTGTCATTCACACAGGTGTTTACACACGGAGGACAATGTTTTATAGGAGCAGGAATGGAATAATGCTGAGGGGAATGGTAGGTAAAAAACCAAAGTGGAAAAGCGGGGTGGAAAGTCGTTTGTGTGCCAGTCTGCTGGACTCGAACTGAAAGAGCTGCTAACACACCTCAGGATTTTAAAAGCATTTGGCAGCTTGTAAACTAATTAGTCAAAACTGATGAATACAGTCATTACCACAGTCTCTGATTTCTTAAAATTTCCTCTAATTAATGTACAAAGCCATGTTTAATTATATGTAGTCATTAGATTTTATAATGCAACTATATTTAGACTATAATCCGTTTGCTTCATTTTGTTTGGTTATTTAGGTAATTAATTAAGCCGACAATAGATTTTTCTCTCTATTGTGCAGTTCTGGCTTATGGTTTATGGTATGAGTCTGCCCCCTATTGATACAAATTATTACTTGGAGAATAGCAACATTTCAACAAACAGAGCTCTCCATCTAAACCTATTAGGACAATTTATACTTTAATATAGTATCACATATATAAATCTTCATGCACCTAAGCATGTTTTTAAACAAAAAGCTAAAAAAAAAAAAAGAGTCACATGTTCAGCGTTTTAAAGGACAGTAACAGAGATGAGTATGCTTTACTGAGACTGGATGTTACTTTGAGAGGCTGAAGTTAAAGATAAAGTACAGAAAACAAAAAATGTAGCTCAAAGTAAAAGTCTGCATACTCACTCTGGCCTGTAGACAGGCAGCCAATAGACGAGCCTCCCACCCAAGACCAGGTGGTGGGCAGAGAAGTTTAACAGGTCGGTGAAGATGTCACTGAGGTGGTACGCCTGTGTTACAGGGACGTGAGACTCTGCATAGCTGGACAGGAGATTAAAAGAAAAATGAACAGGGTTAGAACAGAGCGATGAGAACAATACATTTAGTATTTCAAATGATTCTCTCAAGTTTTGTATTAGTGGATGAACTGGATGAAGGATTTTTTTCCTTCTTTTATTTGAAATTGATACCAAGGAAAAGCTTAAAATTCACTGTCGTATCTAATGTAAATTTGCTCTAGAGTAAATGCTAGGCTTACTGCAGGCCTAGACACTAATACTGTACGATACTTACATGCCATCAGCGGGTTTAGTGATTTCTTTGTGAGAGCCTGTTCGCCTTGTGGACTCACGGATACCATATGGAGCTGACAACAAAAACATCAGGAATAGGAATTTAAAAAAAACAATTAAAAAAAACAAAAGACAAGGTTCATCCCATTATGAGAGATACTCAACTGAGAACAGGCTGGTTGCAATACAGCAAAAAAAAAAGAGAAATGCAATGTGTGTTTAACACTATAACTGTAATGTGTACAAGTCAAGCTGAAAATAGTCTACAACACTTAGCGAGCAATAGAGTGGTGGTTTGGCCAAGTCTCAGATTTGCACTTTTTCAGAATACAACTAGGATATTTCTTCAAGCTCAAAATGCACACAAACCCATCTAAAAGTCAATAAACAGCAGGAATTACACCACAGCTTTCAACACATGTAGCACAAGTTCTCATACTCAGCATGCCTACTAAAGAGTTAATAGCGGTCTGTTTAGAATACACTCGGGCCCTACGGTCAGTAATGATGGCATCAAACAGAGCAGCCTCCCTCCACACAGACTTGGATGCATCAGACACCATCACATCCAAATACATCTTCTCTATTCCATACTGCCGCAGGTTGGCTCTGATATTCTCATCAGGTCCTCGCCACTTCTGGTTTATACGGCTCGACCGACCTGAAAGACGAAGCCACTTTTAGGAAATCTTGCTGTCAGAGCAGAGTCCTGCCACTGTTACTTCTGAGCACTTGAATCAAAATAACTTAGAGACTAAAGTTGGTGTGCCAAACCTCTGAGTAGACAAAACTTACCTTTGCCATGAATAGTGTTGTAATCAATATCTGTTCCACAGACATAGGCTCCAAAATGTGAACATGCAACCAGCAGGCTCCCTAAAACAGAGACAGAATTCAATAACGAGTGTGGAGGTCTATGGGTATGTAGGTGTGTGAGAGGCTGTGACAGACATAACTCACCTGTGCCAACAAACGGGTCATATACAAGGTCATTCTCTTTGACCTTAGCGTGGTTGGCCATGATGAATGAGAGGCCAGCATCCATGCTGGTGTTTCCAATAAAGTGTCTGTTCTTCACACTGTGGGAACGAATCAGTTCACGCTGACCATCCGCTATCTGTGGGTGTGTAAGGATGTAAAGTGTTCAGTTGCAGATGACTTCTTGTTAGTCTGATGTGGACAAAGAATCGTACGTATCTCACCCATCGGCCAAAGTAGATGTAGTTTGGATGCTCGGGGATGTTGTTGGGGTCTGAGCCGTAATCCTCCAACATACAGAAGATGTGCTGGGGGTTCTTCAGACTCACCGTGCCCTCAAACGGAAGATAGTCCAAAGCCTGACATGAAAGTACAGAACATGATACACAAGCTTACAAAGATAAAAAATACACTACACACATTCTGAGCATGTCGCATCCATCTAAACACTCACGTCAATCCTTTTGATTCTGTCTGCAAACAGCAGAGTCTTGTTGAAGGTGTAGACGTTGATTTTGTATTTGGAGTCTTTGTGCATGAATGGTGCCTGTAGGGGAATGTGGAAGAAGAGCACGAACACAAATTAAAACACATTAGTTTATAATTTATATGTTTCATATGAAACTTTTTCTAAAATTGCATGGATTTGTCTGTCCAACACTACAGAACTAGAAACTGTAGCATCACAAACCATGTTCTCTGAGGGGTAGTTCAAGAGGGATGTTCTGAGTTCACTCTGTGTATGTCCATGCCCCCATAATTCAAAGGCAGACCTGGAAGAGTAATGCAACTTAATCTACATCCACATTACGGTCGCTGTATAACAGAAAATACTTCCGAGGTAACAGAAGCACAGATTGATGGACAGATGTTAATATGTGCAGGTCATTCCATCACCACAGATGCAGGGCCATCACTTACTTTGCACAAACAGATCTGGCCATGATGGCACGGACGTCCACCTCAGACAAACCATTTAGACACCAGTAAGGGGACTGAGAAGGAACAAGTAAGAAGATGAGTGGCTGTGGGGAAATGGGGTCTACAGGATAAAACCTCCTGATGTAGCTGCTGTCATATTATCACTCTGTAGCCAAACGACTTGTTCAAAACAGAAGGGGAAACAGGAGGATGAGAACTGAAACAGGTGCATTACACTTTCAAACCTTTTCTTTGAATTTTCCGTCAGGATGGAACGGCTTTTCTCTGAGAGCCAGCAGAGCCAAAATCTCCTGCAAAAAAGAGAGGAAAAACAACAAATACTGACATATGTATTAAACTCTACTGGAAAACATCATACATACAGGCAGATTTAAGGGCCATAGTGGGGATTTAGCATTGCAAGTTTTTTTTGTCAAGCTTGAATAATGCTGGACCATATAATTCACATAATGCAATGCAACAGAGTTGATAATGCAGGTTCCCAGCTCTAGATGTGAATCCTAAAATCCAATCTAAGATCGTTTTAGCAGCTTTTAGAGACCTTATTCAGAGATACAGCAGACCACTGTTTTCACAGACTCTTCATATATTTATTAGATAATAAGTTCCAACACAGGATTGTGACATGATTAAAACTCATTCATGTGCGCGGTGGGAAAACTGTTGGTCTCCATCATCTTACCTGATAGCCAACAAATCCAAGACCAATTTATAGACTGCCAGAGCAGAAGGAACACAGCAAGATCACGTTACATAATCAGCACCTACACAGGTGAGTATCAGGCAATCATATCATCCATCAGCCATATTCTGATTAAGGCCCCTTAAGCAAGTTTTCTTTAATCAATATTACTATACCTTAACTCAAATTAACATGATTTGTGTGATTCACAAAAGTGTGCATCACTGCAGATAAGTATGTCCACTTGTGAGGTGTGCAAACATGAACACTGACAGCTCCTATCCACTTACTAAGACTTACTAAAATGGTTAGAAACAGGCAACAGAGACCATGTAAACCATGTGAACTACCAGTTCATAATCATGTAGACAGAGTACACAGAGGGAGTGTTAATGTGTTACTATGGTGAAAAAACGTCCAGAAAGTCTCACATGAAGATAAAACATGAATATACAGAGATGTGATGTTAGTTTTCACAGTCTGACTTAGCAACAGCGTTAGCTAACACGGCACACCGAGGGAGGAGGGGCTGTGTCTGTCAAACTCTGCTCCCCCCACAAAGAATTCAACTTTAACTTTTTCACATTAAGAGCTGAATAGACGTTGACAGTAGTTTATGAAGGTTACCGGTAACCTGAAGTCCAGATTATCCTGGGCAAGATGAAACACATACTGAAGGCATGATCGACTACTGGAAGCCGCCATCATTGGTGCGGATTGAAAATACGTCCGACTTGAAACCGGTCTCTGAAACAAAGTACCCCTTGTGTTTCAAATGACCATAAATGGTAGAAGAATGAGGTCTCCTCTCTCGTTTTATTATAAAGCACTGCCTGAAGTTGACTTGTGTAGTGTGTTTATTTTTTTATGTGCACATTGTAAACATTTCTACAGAAGGAAGAGGAAAGAGAGGAGTTTTCATAAACTGCTGTTGTTTTGAGAATTTTATTATCATCTTGGATTAACTACCTATCACTGTTTCACAGATACGTTAATATTATTTGGTTTTAACCAATTTAATAACATGTCGTGTATAAGCATCAGTAGATTACTATGCTGCACTCGCGTGTGTAGATAAAGTCCTCTCTCCTCTTCAGGCTGTAATCTGCTTTACTTCAGAGGCACCTTGTTATCCCCGCCCTTTCTGATCAGTGATTGGCTGGAAGGATCTTCTCGAACGGCCATTGGCCGATACAGCCGTCGATCACAGCGGTTTTGCATCGCTCGGGACAGACAGGCATCCACACTCTTGCTACTGGCGGCATCGCTGCAGTATTGGTAAGTTGTAATACATAGTTACAGTGTGACAACAGGATTGTTTTTGCACTTCGGATACAATGAAATATTACTGCAGGTGCAGAGAGGATCGAGTCATTGCGTGACATGTAAGTTCAATCATGTTTGCTTCAAATCTCTGAGGCTGTATAGACCCAGGCTACTTTGCAAAGCAAGATGCTCACTAGTTTTTATGATGAACGTTTTTTTTTTTTAGATTTTAATTTTATTCCCTTTATTCTTTAGTTTTTTATGAAATGTCATTTGAATGAGATTGTGGCTACAATCATCTTAGATTAACATATAGCTCATCTAAAAACACCTCAAATACCAGGACAACAATAATTAGGTGAATAATGTTAAGTTTGATCCAAAGATCCAAAAATGAATCAGTTTTGGGTAGATGTTTGCAGATATGGTAGATATCAAAGCAATAAAAACAGTAAAGGGCTTTTATTCAGTGAGTAGCAACAACATTATAATCCTGTATGCGCAAATGACCAGAATTACAGTTCTGTAATCTTCTCCACAGAGCCAGTGATGGGGACAAACAGCCAGAGCACCACCATCATGGAAAGTGAGGATGACGTCCCAGCTCCCTCTCAGTTCAGCGACGACACAGCAGTGTGCATTGTTTCTGTGAAAGGCTTAAAGGAGAACTGGCAGAAGTGGTCTGACGAGCACCAGGAGTACCAGAAGCACAATCCCTTCAGTCACGACACCAGGCCCAGTGTGGTGGTCCCTCAGAGGGGGCAGGACGACTATGGGAGGCCCTTGCAGGGTTCCATGACAGAGCAGCGGGGGAAAGATGCTCACACACATATCAGCAGAGAGGTTCAGGAGCTGTGTGAGGTGATAAGGAACATCGGAGAGACGAGACACCGCGATGAGGGTGGAAGCAGCAGCGATGGGAAAATGATCACTGTAGAATTTGGGAAACTGTTTGAGCATTATGTGACTATCTCCAATAAACTGGTGGGGATTCTTCTGCGAGCGAGGAAGCAGAGGCTGGTTAACTTTGAGGGGGAGATGCTGTGGCAGGGGAAGGATGACCATGTAGTTATCACTCTGTTACAGTGACCAGACACTTGGATTAGTGTTGATGCCTTGATTCATGTTGCATATGCAGTGGCAGGCACAGAGCTGCTTCATGGCAGCACTCACTGTAGTCACATAAACGCACATGTAATTAGAAATATAGCTTTTTCTTGCTGACACAACTAACAACTAAAAACCTCAGTGGCTAATAATTCAAACCACCTCCACCTCTCTTCAAGCTACAAACATAAGAACTACTGAACCTGCTGTCCAGAGCACAGATACATGCAGGAGTCAAAAACAATAAAATTTAATGTTAAGTGGAATCAAATCACAGGTATTACAAACTAAAAGTTTAAAGGGGAAGTATTGGTTGAATGAAGTTGAAAGTTGAAACTTAACAACAGAAATACGAGATACATACTGTATGTATTCATGCTTTTTAAAATTTTCATTTATTTACATTATTTCATCTACTACATTTCATTTAGTGTTGCTATACTACACCAGGTCTAAATAACAATGGGAAAAGTGAACAACTTTTTAATATGGGGAAAGTGGAGGAGTCGGCAGCTGAAATGAAGTCAGAGTGGTTAATGAGAGTGAACCAAAGCCAAAGAGAACATGAGGCCACCTGTGACAGACAATATGGTGCTATAGGATGAACCTGATCCCACTTGGCTTGGGTGCTTCAGAGCATGTATTTATTACAAGTGTGCTTGTAATTTAGGCAACCTTGTTATAGGATGAAACCTGAGCCACGCTGAGACTGATATACAATAAACTCATGTGCTGCTTTAATGGAGTGAGAAGTTCACAGTAAAGAACTATGCACTGACTGAGAGATGCCATGATATCTGCTGCTGCAGTAATAGCCATGCAAATTAATGAGCTTTCTTAACATGAGCAGTAGTAGACTGATAAATGAGCAAGTGCTGCTTATGGTCTTATAATAAAGAAATAAAAGACACAGTGCCCCGTTTGTCATTCTGTTACTGTAGGTGCTTTGTGAACCATAAGTGTAGTTCAATGAACGGGATAGAGATTGTAAACTGGTGTGAATATTCAGACTTTATATTCACTACATTAGAAACATACTGAGACAACAAGATATCTGAGAAAATCAAACTAAGAAGCAGCAATATATTATTTATGATAAATTAACATTTCTGAAAGTGCATACACTTTTGTACAGTACCAAAGAATCATTTCTTCACATTCCATTAATACAGTATAGTATGGTATAATATAGCAGTTGTAGTAATCACTTCATGCACCATTCAGTTAGTTCACATTATACATTATATATCTTAATACAGTCTTAAGATATCACATCAAAACAAACATGAGATGAGTAAATACCCTGTTGTATTTCAGTGCTTGTTGAGATCAACACATTACTGTCAGTGTCAGTTGCTTCCACTGTAAAGGAACCTTGTAAATGGTTAATGAAGATGTCACTAGGTAAAGAGGTAACGTATCATAGCTGAGGAACTCAATATAAACAGCTGTGTAATATGTTGTCTCAATATGTGAATTGTACAAATTAATTTTTCTTACAGAGATTTAAATACATTTCAGTTGATACATGAGCTGCAAAAGCACTAAGGCAAAGGCAGTATGGCATGACAGGAAATAAAATGAATCGTTTCTCTATCTGTATATTGATATTGAAAATGATACAAGTCACATCGGTGAACCTATTGTTCTATTCAACAGATTGCCTTCAACATTTTCTTTGGTGATTAAAAGACCTACTGTATGTTACTTGGTCCATAAAGTGACTAGATTGTTTGTTACAGTGGATTAGTGGATTTTATTAACTTCTTCTGAAAAATCATTAAAAAACGTTTGTTCCTAAAACATTTCAAGCAGCAAGAAACAAGATTTGGCTTCATTTAAGCTTTTACTTGCCTGAAGTCTGAACACCTAAGTGGTCACAAATATCATAGAAATACAAATGTCATCTGCTGTGGCAAACAGGCAGCAACTTAATGTGAGAGTGTTCCATCCAACATGACATCTACAAGAAGGTGGATGTTTCAGTCACTACATCACAGTCAAGTACTGCAAGAGCTGCATTCAAGTGATCAGTTGGTATCTCCTTTAGAGTTGAGAATCTCAATCAGCTGGTCTGCCTGCAAAAAATGGACAAATGTGGACAGAAGAGAAGTTGACTGAGAGCAGAACTACTTACCATTTGAATGAACTAATGCGTGGTGGCACCACAGGGTTGGTGTTGCTGAAATAACTGCTAAACTAATTATGAGTTTCATGTGGTGACTAAATCTACAGCAATGTCTTCCAGTCAGTTATTACAATACTTTTTTTACACGGTAAATCCCTCTTGCAGAAAGTGGCAGACCCTGGCTTCATCTTTAATATGAAGTCTAAACCAAAATAATCACCATATTATTTATGCACACATGAATACTTTCAAATCTTGTGTAGAGAAACTGAATATACTCTACCGTGTACTGGCTGAGTGGCTTACAACTAGCCTCAGAATGAGATAAAGAAATGTGCTGGAACAGTAAAAACAATGGGACTGATCCATCATCAAATGAAAAAATGATTAGGTCACCAGTCTCTACACTTTTAAACCATGGTGCCTGCAACTGATTGATACGTATCAAGATAAAAAAAACATTGTCTGTACTTTCATATAGTAAGATGACAGTGGACCTCTTTTGCTTACATGTCAGCCTGACGGGTCACAAACTTAAGATTGAAAAGCAATTCATTTATCTATACGATTATATAATTATTATATAGTAATATATAATAACATACTACAAATATGAAAAGGGGTCTTACCGTGATAAACCAATAGGAATTGAGTCTGTAGAAGAGGCGAGACATGAAGCCCATTTCAGTGGCAGGTGCCAGGACATGAAGGTGTAGGTGTGTAACAGAACAGAATGGGGGCCAATGGAAACCAAACCTGCAGACAAGGTAAAGGGCATTGGTGCACACAGGCTTACTGTTTTAAGATATGACAAGTTGTAAAGGCTCTACAGCAAGTTTGTTTACACAGTTTAAGTTGAATCAATTTTAAGTTACATCAGCAAAGAAACAGGTATGTTACCAAAGCTAAATAACAGCTGTCGTTACACAACAGTTCAGAGGATTATCTATTACAGTTTCTATCAGTGTAGATACTCTGCTGATAAATATTGATTATCTGTATGTGGCATAACTGTGGATTGTTTGCTTGTTCTTCTATCTACACAGACACAGTGCTGGTTTATTAGTACTGATAAATTATATTAAATAATATGCCAGTCACTAGTGACCCTTGACCTGAGGTTAATTTCATCAAACGACAAAAGCTGTTCCACTGAAGTTGTTGGGGATGTTCCCTTGGAAGAAGACATATTGGCACATTTACATTCATGAGCCACTAACTAGTAGTGTGACGAGCTACAACAACAAAATGTACCACTCAATGTAGCCCACCTGACATCACTGAGATCGGTTACGTTGTTTTTCTGAAGGATCTCCTTCCCAGTCTCGACCATCCGCTTCACTGGGTATGACGACAAAAACACATGATCCTTTATAAACAATTTACCATTAAAAATGATACTTTTTTTTTTTTTTTAAACAAAGAGCATTGTTTTTTATCCTGACCCTATATTTTAATCAGTTGCTGAATAATTATAACTCAAGATACAAGCGATGCTTTGTCAGTGAAACTGTCTAAGTTGAAATGAACTAAAAACAAGACAAGCACTAGTCTAAACCCTGTGCAAGTACAAACACTTCCACAAGTATCAGTCACAAGCACTGTTGTTTAAACCTTACCCAAAGGCACATGTTCTTTGCTGAGTGATTTACAGTTCCCAACATGTCTGGTTGGGACGACCAGGTAATGGTGGGGAGCTCCAGGTTTGATGTCTCTGAAACATGAGATCTCTTCATCCTGCAGAAGAGATAAATGAATATGTGAGCAAATACAAATTAATTGGTGAGCTTCAAGACTGGGAGGGCAAAAGGACTCGGACTGTAGAGTTTACTTCATGTTAGCTACCCTTTTGTTGTTATCCAATGAAATTAACAAATGAACTGCAAGCTCTTTTCAGCTTTTTATTGTCTCTCCCACAGCTGTGGTTTCCAAGCTGGAACCTCAGAGTGTGTTTCAGGGGATCTTCATTACAATAAATGTGGCTGGATTTATTTGGGGTGGTTAGAGTGAAAAAAAAAGTTTGGCAAATCTGTGCTACATAAAACAACAGCAAGCTAGTATATGCCTGAAAGGACTGAACACAATACACAATATACCTACGTACAATAAATCTATTGTGTGTGTGTGTGTGTGTGTGTGTGTGTGTGTGTGTGTAAAAGGGGGGAAAGTGAGACACACTTTTCAAGACAACACAATAGACTGGTATCTTCACACATCTATGGCATCTATGGCACTAAACAAAAATTTGATAGTTAAACTATCGTATAGTTGATTTACACGACAAAACGAACAATTACACACTAGCAACATCTTAACAAAGCCAGTATTTGTTACGATGCTTCCCAACACAGGTGTTTCTAAACCGAGGAGGCTAACGCTGGCTAGCTACAGGCGCTAACATTATTCAGTTGCAACAATATTCTCACACAGTGAAGAAGTTCTGTCCCCATTTCATTGTTTACAATCTTGCAGAAAATACATTTCTTGTCATATCCTTCAGCTGGCATGCTGCTAGTTTTGGAAATATCAACCGCCGGAGCAGGTTGAGTAGCCTCCACCCCGGCCATTGTTGTTCAACTGTCAGAGGTGAGTGAGACCAGCTCCGTCGATCCCAGAGGTCATCGAGCACTCAAGGGAAGCTGAAAGATTGTCGATCTGGATCGATAGTCTAGGTAGGGGAAGAAAGCTGCCACAAGAGAGCGATGTGGTTCAGCCATAGACAGTATATGGGTTCAGCATATTATATATAAGTCACTGTACCTGGATGACCAATTGTATCACTTCTAGCATAACAGTCCTTGTCTGGATTCAATGCTTCATGTCAACATCAAGTGCCCTCATTACTGTGTAGTCTAATGAATGTGTAGGCTACATTAAATGCCTAGCATCTGTCTTCCCCAGATTTTAAATAAAAATTCAGTCATTGTAATGAGGGTTGATGATTCTGTGGATTGGACTGTTGCCGTACAGCAAAAATTACCTACATTTAAACCCAACTCAAATGAAGACATTTGGACTCAGAGAACAAAAACCAATCCCATGACTACTGTATGTGAGTGTTAGGACCCCAAACAGGTCTAGGGGAAATGGGAGGAACATAGATGAGGAACTTGAATAGTAATTTGTTCAGGCTTTCAAACTTTTATTGCCAGAAAGTGAAGCATGAATTTAACATCAGGGAGAGCCCAGACCAAAACAACAAACATAACAATTAGTAGAATCAAAAACCACTATACTGAAACTAACACAACACAAGTTTACAATACAAGTCTTCCTATCACGCTAAATAGGAGAGAAATAGGAGAGAAAAAAGGATTAAAGCTTATTGCTTCTTGCCAAAATTTAAAACGTACAGGTTAAATCATACAAGCAGTACTCAAAATAGAACAAGGGGGTTAACCGAAATTCAACAAACCAAGTTTCCAAATAAATCTTCTAAAATAAATCTTAACACATATTCAGGCAGGCTGTGGCAAAGAGCAAGAGAGAGAAAGGGAGAGACCTGAAGTGTGAACTAATAGGCCAATAGGCCAGACTAATTGGGTGCAGGTTCTCAGATCCAACCAATAACAGAGGAGGGAGGATCCAGAGTTTAGGCCCACAGAGCCTGAGGAGCAGGACAGCAAATAAACATTTTACATGCAAATAAAAAGAGACTGAGTTAATTTCATTTGGCAAAGTCAGATAGCCTTAAAATAAACAATTGAACAACAGCGACCATGAAGATTCTAAGATTTGAAGCCAACAGCATTAAGGATGGAAAAATGGAAATAATGTAATGTGTACTGTAACAATGTCAATGTTAAGGGCAATGTTACAGTATAATTGTGGCATTTCCATGAAAAGGGTATGAGACTATAAACCCCAAGTTACAGAGTAAGTAAAAATCCCCTCCTACAGTGGTGTAGAGTACCTGCTGGAGAACCCACATCCCTGCGTCATTCACTGTGGTTTTTCACCCTTTTCTGTTGTATTTCAGGTCAACCTCCAAACTTTAAAGCTCTGTTATTGCTTCAGACTTCTTTTTTGTTCTTGCTGGAAATGAAAAAAAGCTTTATGAGTCCTTTTCAAACCTTTCTGTCGTCACAGATTTGAAGTCATGCTTAACTCCACCAACATCATACAAAATACTACGACATACTATACAAAAATTAAAAGGAAACCTGTTATGCAGGTCTATTCTACTCTCAAAAATACATTTGAATTACCTTACTTATTTTAATGTGGTCTCATTTTGGCCAAGATGCACGCTGCACTGTGCAGTTGTATTGCTTGAAGCCCTGGGGTGTCTTGGCTCACTTTGTAACCCACCTGCATCTGCATCCCTTTCCACTGGGCCCAAAGTCATGCAGGTCAGGTGAAATAAAAACATTTAATTTGACAATAGGTGTGAAGGTGAAGAGGGTGTGACTGGCAATAGACAGATGGCCTGCCTCTTAGTCAGTGCATTTTATTATGGATGATTCAATCACTGTATTGGATGAATGGACAACAACATGAAACATAAAGCATCAGTGTTTATTGTTTTTTTTTGTGATTTGGTTCATCTCAGTATTTTTATTCAGACCATTTGTTGCTCAACTGCAGACCACTGAACAGTATCATTTCGTGTATGGTGTCCTGTAAACTTGTGATGTTGCAAACTGCCTTTGATGGATGGTTAGTTGGTATTTCCCTTTTCAGATTTTCCCAAGTTCCTAAAGGTGCAGCAACCTATTATCTGGGAGAGTGCAAGTTTGCATTGTTAGTTTTTCTGCTTACTTCTACTCCTGCTGTATTGTTTAATCTTTTTGTGTAAATACTTAATAGGAAATTGGTAGCTGTTCAACTTATCTTAATATATGCCTGTGTTTGTTCTGGTTGTACTCATTAGTCATATTGTAGCACAACTATACTGATGTAGATAATTGATTTTAGAGTCAAACAAATACGATGTGTCATATATACATATTTCTACCTGTTTTTCATTATTTTGAGTATGAAAAAACATCTTTCCTCCTCAATGGAAAAGCTGATGTTCATAGGTGAGGGTTTATTCATGACAAAATATAACCGCTTTAATCAGTGTCACCTGGAAAGTTTTAATGTGGTTTCACAAAAACATTGGCAGTGCCAGCACTGCCTGACAGACTCTGATTTGCACACAAAGAAATGTAAAACAAACAGACACACAGGAACATTTTTCTTAAAAATACATTTAAATATATAGATAGTAAAAAGATGTAAAAGATTTCAAATGTTTCCTTAAAACAGTATCCATCTACGTAAATGGGCAGGCAGGTGTTTCACTTTCAAAAAAATGAAGTGACAGTTAATGGCTGAGGTTACTTCCAACACAAATGGCACACTTCACACATAATAAGTTGTTCATAGTGCAACTCTATACTTTTATTTTTGAACCTGAGTGGTTAGGCCTTCATCTGCTGGTGCAGAACATTCAAACCAGACCTCAAGTCAGACAAAAACTCAAAAGTACCATTACAGGCCAGATAGGGCATTGTGGGTCCTATCATTTTACAGTGTTTTTTACCATAAATTAAATGTTTTATGACAGTTTATGTGTAAAATTTCACAAACAGATGTGGTTGTTAGACAGAAAATAATTTAAAAAAAAAACATTTCCTTAAAACCTGAATGTGCTTTCAGTAGTTGCAAACTTTTTATCCCACGGTGTTACACCTTGAACTTTGTATTATAATGCTCTCCATAACCAAAGGAGGGCATGGATTGCTTAAAGCTTCAGATGCCAGTTACATACTGGGCTAAGCATGGAGCTACAGATGAATAGCCAGTAGTTTAAAGCAGCAGGACCCTGGATCACAGGATTTCATCGAGCCACTTCTCTTTAACAGGCACAGATCAAACCGGTGTAAACAGAAAATCTGGCCCAAGAACCACCAGAACAGGCTTCACACTGTGTAAGCTAATCTCAGCCAGGTACACAGATGATACAGTAGCAACTGCTCTGTCAGGTTTTGTACAGTAGTGGCTAAACTGCATGTACTCCTTGAAGTCTTGAAGTTCTGTAACTCCAGACAATACTGTGGATTCTACTCTGTTTTTATATTGCCTTTTCAGATGTTCTCCCTCATTTCTGCACAGTCCAGACCTCGAGGTCTTGTACAATAAAGTCTTGCTGTGTGGAAAGTGGTGCGTTGTGGAAGGTGGGACAGGAGAAACTTGCACCATGGTACAGATCAGCATCCAGCCACAGAGCGAAGCCACCCCTATAGACAAGAAAAAATAACAGTTTAGCATCAAATCTTTTCGTGGTGATAACTGGCATTGTAATCTGTGATATCTCACAAGTAGTAAGTGACGTAATGACTTCATGGTCTTTTTATTACTTTATGACACTGACAGGTGTAACAGCTGCTTTTTCCTTTGGTGACCATGTCTATATTTCAATAACTGCATTACTTACTCTCCTCCTCCAATTTGCAGAGATTCCAAGTTGCCGCTCACAAAGTAGGAGTTCTCCCCGCTCCACCTGTACGCCTGGAGATATGCCAAATACAAGACATTAGAAACTAATACTCAGTGTCTAAATATATGAAATCTTAGGCAACAAAAACTTTTTTTTATCCCTATGTGAAACTTTTAACTTTCCTGAGATTGTGTTTAGTTTCTTAGACTAGAGAAATTAAATTCAATGTTTGAAAATTTTACTGTAAAGAAGACATTAAGTCTTGTAATAAAAAAAAAAAACTTGTGTCAGAGCTACTGCTAGACAGACTATAGGTAACTAAATAATGATCTATTCCACTCTTACCTGAAAGTCAGGGTTGAAGCTGAACAAGAAGGTTTCTCCGGTGCCATAGCAGTATTTACTGACTCTGAATGGATGTGATGAAAAAGCACCAAACACCTGAAAAGACCAAGGCAACGGTTATTGAAGTGGTCCCCACAGATATACCATTAATCAAGGTATCACTTTGAATTTTTTTAGATTGTATTGTATTGTGTTTTTTCTATAATAATAATAATAATAATAATAATAATAATAATAATATTTCATTTCATTATTTGCCTTGTGGTTTAAAGAAGAAGATGCAAACCTTCTTGTGCATGTCTTTGATGACCAGCAGCACAGGACTGTCCAGACCAGCCATATTCCTGTACAGTGTCTTCAGGCTGCTCCCATGGATGGCGGTGCTGTAGACAAGCTGCCATGGATAGCCCTGGGTCCTTGGTGGCATGTGAGCAGCGAGCTGTTGAAACATGAGTTGTTAATCAAAAAGATGTCAGACTGGCAGGTGTAAAAATAATGAGCCTAATTCATCGAGGCAAATCTTGCTGTAATTGAATTCATGCAAAACCACCCACTTAGACTGATGTGGCGGGTGTAACTTACTCGCTCCAGGTGGTGGTCATCCAGCAGCTGGCTGTGGTCGCTCAGGACAGGCAGAGCACCCTCACCTTCCTCCTGGTACTCAGGCTCCTCCGCCTCTGAGTCCTCCGAGCTGCTCAGACTCAGGCGGCGCTTGGCGTCCTTCACTCTGATAATCTGGAGGAAGACACAGGATGCAACAAGCCTTTTAGAAAACTGTCAAACTTTATTATTCCCACTCATGTCACTATTTCTGCTTCCCCCCCCCCTACATTACATAGAGTCTTGGTCTGAAAGTGCACGTGTAAAATCCAAAGGGTAAACTAAATTGTACTAGTACGTGCAGGTTTATCACCGCATTCTGCTAAGTGAACTCAGATTGCCCAGCTGGCTTGTAAGAACAAAGTTATCTTTAACTACATATATGCAGTAGCCTACATGATTACATGCTTCAGTGATCCTACCTCCACATACGGCTCCATACAATCACTGGCAAAGTAAAGTACTTTCATATTTTCTGGCAGCAGCTTCATGACTCCTCTTCTCTCTGTCAGTTTCTGAACTCTTAACACGCTGGGTTGCATCCATCGTTTTGTACCCTGCTCGTTACTTTCACTTTCCGCGTTTGAAACGTCATTGGTTAAAAACTTGTGTAGATGGATTTGCCATTGGTTAGATCGGGCACTGAAAGGTTTCTGTTCTCATGAAATGAAGCGCGGATTTTTGATTCAAGGAGGGGGTTAAGGAAAGGATGTCCATATATGGACATAGTGGGATTTCCCAGAACATCTGGGACAACAGCCAAGGACCCATATCCCCCAGTTACTGTAATCGGCAAGGTTTGATCCCGGTCTCCCCACCCCTCCTGCCCTTTCTAATGAGCCAGGTCTACTTCCAACTGAAGAAGGAGGTGTGCAGCATTGTGTTGAATCATATTCTGCAGGCTATTTTTTATTGTGAAAAAATTAAAATGATCCTGTATGGAAGAATCCTTTCCAATTATAGGAATTCAAACACTGTAAAATTTATTACATTTTCCAAAAGTTTCCATATGATGAGCATACCTCTCCTCTAGCGCCACCATCAGGCCTTTTCATTTCCATTTTGTTTTCCATTTCAACTTTTACAGCTGCTTTCTTTCTACTTGGTATGTAGCCAAGTTAGTTAATTTATTTTAATTGAAGAGGTTAGAGTATATTTAAGGTGTACAAGTATTAGAGAATGTTACAATTAAAATTATATTCAAACTGTAATGGGCTTCAGCACTTGTCTTGCATCAAATTCTGAATTCCACCTTATGCAGATTGTTGCATGCAGGTCTGCACAGTGCTGTTTTCAGAGTTGGTGTGGACTGTGGTGGGGCCCAATGTGATATCTTTTCATGGGTCCCAAAATCCCTGGTGGCACCCGTCTGTAACTGTTTTATCTGTAGAGCACTTATTGCCTTGACCTAATGATAAGCTACAGTCAAAGAGCCGCCGAGGGATTTTATGTCATCTCGAATCACATGTGTGTGTTAGTGCGCTCCTTACCTCCCAGTTTTTAGCAGTGGCGTTGACAGGGTTGCTGAGGAGCTTGTTGATCACAGCCACCTTGTTCTTCTCTACGACCAGATAGCGGTTCTGATGCTTCTCTCTAATGAGGAGGCGGGGCTGGCGGTGCTTCTTGTTGCCTTTAGTGTAGATATCTGGTGACCATTGCACAAAGAAGGTGTAGAGGTGGTCAACCCTGCAGGGGCAAAGAGAGAAAAAGCAAATAAGAATCATGTATTGTACCTAAACAGTGTGTTTATTCATATGGCCTGCTTTGCTTAAAAGGAATAGCTTTTAATATGAAATGGACTTCCACCATCAAACACCACTGCAGAGTTACAACGTCTAAATAATATTAGAGCTTAAATAAAAGAAAAGCAGAAAAGCAAACGTAATGTCATCTTAACTGGAATACAGTAAATCATTCTTATTCTCAAGGAGTGGTGTTGCTGCAATTTTAAAGCATTAATGACAGTTGGCCCAATCAACAAACTGTAAGTCAAACAAATTCCAGTCCACAATGCTAGCTGTGGAAACATGACTCAACATGAACAGGATGAAAGTGATGCATTCCTTGAGTATTTTATGAATTGAACCATTCTTTCCTGAGGAATGCTGAAAACAATTCCGTATACCGGAATTCATGGTATAAACCTACTTTGAATTTTTGGATGTCTGAACCAAATCAAGCCTCTGTCTTTTTCTTTCCCTCACTATCTCACTCTCTTCCTGTCAAACACACAATCTCCAACTCTTTGACCACCATAGATTAATTTGTCTTCTACTATTGAATGACCCCCCCCCCCCCCCCCCCCATGCTTTCCTTGCATCTTTGTACTAATAAATACACTCAGCACCAAGAACACTGAGCACTTCCATCTGACTTTGTAAAAGGTTTATTTCCGATGCATTTGATGTGATTTGATTTCAAATAAATACATTTAGAAGATTGGATTGAAAATCTTGTAAAAATTAAACAATCATTGCAATTCTAAGCTCATATTCTCTTGCAGCTAAATAACTCCGGATAACTCCACCATATTCAGGGACCAGCATAACAATGTTTAAAGCTGTCTTATTGATGTGTTTCACTTACTCTCCAACGCTGTAGGCAACTCCCATGGCTGACTGAAAATGAAGGTGTTGAAACTGTAAGGAGAAGGAGGGAGTAGATGGTTTGGAGGCTCAGTGCTGCAGCAGCATGTCCACTCTGAGGCCCTGCCATCGGTAGCCTTTTATACCTGCGGATCAATCGCTGAGATAAGCCCCTTTAACCATAAACCCTCCCTTTCTCCCCTGACAGCTCTACATGGCCGGCACGTATTCACACAAGGATTTCACAACGGTGCCTGAAAGCCAAAGCTGGTAACATATTAACTTGACCTGCTCTCGGTCCCTGTCCTTAAGTTTGGCTGGAATTCTGTGTCAAGGCTGTAGATCAGTGACCGAATGAGGTGGCTTGATAGAAAGATAAAGGTCTGCATGTCTATCAGTTTGATTGTCTTTTCATTGTGCCTTCTCATCTGTTTCTGTCTTTGCATCCCTTCAGTGGTGAGAAGTAAATTAATTCCATTTCCATTTCAGTGAACTCCGAGGTATTTGTGCTTTACCTGAGTGTCCCCATTCTCTGTGACTCCACCACTTCAAGGGGAAATATTGTCCTTTCTCCTCCGCTCATCTTACAGCTACAGTCACGGTTACTTGCACATTATTTTCTAAAAAACCTATGATCAGCATATAAAATCCGATGCATTGTCATACAGAACATGAAAGTACCTGAAGTAGTTAAAATGATGATGTCCACCTCAACCAGATACAACATTAAAATGCCCATTACATGTAAATGTGTCAGTAAAAACATTGTGTAATGATAATGAGCACTATTTTTTTTTGATACTTTTAAGTAAATTTACTTTAACAAGTGAGATGTAGATGTATTGACTAAAGAGTTGTAGAGGTGAGGGCAGTTGGATTTTGTCATGTTTGGACTGAACCAGGCTTGCTGTTTCCCCCTGTTTTCAGTCTTTATGCTAAGCTAAGCTAAACAGCTGCAAGCTTCAGGTACATACTGTATTTATTAAACAGACATCTGAGTGGTATAAATCTTCTCAGAACAAACTCTCATCAAGAAAACAAAATGGTGTATAACCCAAAATATCAAGCTATTCATTTAAATATGATTTCTCAGGCCATTTACTGAGAAAGGAGTATTTTACACTTTGGTACTTCACATGTGGATTAAGGAAAAGTTGTGGATACTTTTTACACCATTATTTCTGTCTCTCACTTTCTCTTATCTTTTTTCTTTCCCTTGGGGCTTCCCTGTTTTTCTCGGTTTTCCCTTGAGAAATATAAAAGGGGAAATGACAACAACCCCCCGAAAAGGGAAGTTTCTCTGAGCAGGATTGAAGAGTGTTTACGGGAATAATTGTGGTTTGACATAAAGGCTTGGAACAAGAATGTTATTCAATTTGGGAGTATTTGAGATTGTGCAATACAGCAACTGTCTATGACACATGCTACGGCAAGTATGTTTTATTCATTAATTGGTGCTCAGGGTCTGTGTTGTAGTATAGACATATTGTTTTTGGATTTATTCTTTAGTTTAGTTGTTCAGGTTGCAGGTTTGATTACACACAATGCCATGGACGGTTATCTGCCTGAATTTATCTCTTGAGGCCTTTATCTTAACTGTCTCCACTCTTTCAGGATTTGTCTCAGGCTCAAGCCTTAATATCAAGATTTAATCAAAGCAGCGAACCTTGATTGGAGTGTTGACCATTTATAAATTATCAGTGTTCAATACTAATCATTCAGACTTGATCAGTTTCCAGTGTGGGCTATTATCTCTGTAAAGTAATGCTCAAACAGAATCACAGAGTTGTTTGTTTATTCTGTCTGTGGTCATTGGGATTACTGGGTAAACACAAATAAAAAAGACTCCTCAATGCTTCTGGATCTTCTGAACATGCTGAGCTGTTGCATCAGTAATCCTGTTTGTGAGCTGCTTTGAGGCTTTTATAACAAAATAGCTTCACTTTCATCTCTAGATCTTTCTTCAGTCTTTTTGCTACTTCAGGAAATAATAATTTGGCCTGTTCATGTAGTTATACAAATTCAAAATGTGCAAAGTAAAACAGCTTCTTTAAAGCTAAAACAATTACAGCTATAATGATCCAGTTAAGTTACAAAATGATTGCTTATGATAATGGTCCCAGTACTCAAACACAGGTTTGTTCATATCAGGTCAGGAAATTACAATAGGGACACTCTGGGGTCAACAGTCAGCTACAATGTTCTTACACAAGAGAAATAGTAAATAGATCAATTTGAGACAGTGTCCAGTCAGACACACAGGCAAGATCAATAGGTAAGCACACAGGCACACAGACATATAGATATACATGCTTAAAAAGACTTGCATATGTGCAAACACCAGCGGCCGTGCATGCTCCCATACTCCAGCCTGATGCATGCATACGTGTCAGTCCAACGCATGAGTGCAGACACATGCATGTGTAGAAGAGTCACAGCTGATATTTTTTTTATGGGATTCATAATTTGAGGTTTATTTCTTCAATTAATGTACAATTCTATACAAAAACATTTCTATCCCTTTAAACGTGAGACAAATACTCAATATATCCTCTTTTCTTTTCTGTCATCATAGGGGACAGTGTCTGTATATATAAATAATAAATGGTAAATAAATTATATATATTGATATGTGTGATTGTATGATTTTTGTTGTTACTCTTTCTACAGCTGTGAAATTAAAGGGAATACAAAACTTAGGCATGAAATATGTTGAACTCAAAACTTTAGAGCGTGGTACAGTTTAACTACTTTTATCTGTGATAAAAAGCTTTTAAGTGACAAGATTTTGATGCAAACGTCGCTGAGATTCAGATTAAACTTGAACACAGACCATTTTTAATCATTTGAGGAGTTCTCTTTTTAAGGCAGGATAGTGAGACAAACCGATTAGGAGGCAACTGTTCGATTGATATAAGTGGGTAATTTATTCCACTGTAACTGCAAACAAGTGGGTTCAACAAATGAATCAATAAGTTTCAGAAATCAGACCATCAGATATTTTTGGGTCTTGTCCCAGGGGCTGTGTGTCTCTGAGAAATGATGTGTGTATACAGTACATTTGCACATCATCTCTCTCACACACACACACACACACACACACACACACACAAAACACACTTTCTTGGCAGTAATTTGTGGCATGAGTATGCAGAGCCGTTACTGCTTCACCTCTCCCCCAATTCTTGTAAATCCATTCTGCCCCATTCATCTACTCTTCCAAACTACCATGGGAAAAACCTCCATTAACTGGTTTGCTCAGTTGTGTGCATTTGAAATCAGGCATGCAGGCACACATGCACGTAAACCGGCATTACTCTGCAGGATGACATACAGTATGTCTTGTTTACTCCTGCAGGTGTTCTGGTTTTGGCACCTTGAATGTCAATGTATTTTGTTTTGACAACTTGTAGCTGCAGGTTGGTCTACTCTGAAACCCAGTGTTTCCAGTAAGGGTGTCTCTGCAACACAACAGTTATGTGTGAGCAAGCAGGAGGAGCTTGGCGGCTTTTCAGACATCTCCAGCCAAGGTGACCATAACTGGTAGATAAATCCAAAGACTTATTGTTTTAGTGTTTCGGTGCGGTAAGATGCCTCATGGGTCCCAGTGTACTTCTGCAAGACCATTGTCTTGCCACAGATATTTAACATAAGATCATGTATGTATGTATGTATGTATGCATGTATATTGTGTTTAAATAATCTTTAAGGTTTCATGTCAGTGAAAATTAATAACATCACATTCACACTTGCTCAAATGAAACTTTCAGTTAGTAATTATGGAAAATGACACATGGGTAAATCATATAATACTCAAGTCCCAAAGTAGCCTTTAGTATGTAAAGTATCTTTATGGCTGTAAAAAAAATTAGATCAGTCTGTACTTAAACGACATAGGATGAAAGAAACACCAGCACAAGTAGGTTGCAGAATTTGAAAACATGATACAACCTCATTAACATCAACTTCCTTTTCTTCAGTTCAAGAGTAGATGACCTTGTCTACCACCTCTGTGATTTCCTTAGAAGGTTAGAGTTTTCTAGAGATGCAGTGAAGCCAGACTAACAGCACAGCTCATGTCTTTCTTTCTGTGGTTGATGCTCACTCCCACTGTATGTTACCTGTCGGAGCAAGAAGATTTTACACCTGGGTTCCACATTCAAGTGTGTGAGGCGATACACATTCCTATTGTCAATTTGTTTCGCTGATTAACAGTTGGTAACAGTCAAAAGAAGTGCAGCAACGTGCAGGAAAAGGCAGTGAAGGCAAGTAAACATGGATGTTAACAAATTTTGTAACAAAATAAATCAAACTGGTATAATAATCACAAACCACGATTGAGAAGCTTTGCATATTTTTTTACAGAATTGTTATCAAAATCCAAAGGATATTATTTTTGAGCTTGTGCTTTAATCATATTTGTTCCTATAAATATCCATCTTTACAACAATAACTTGTGTGTTTCTGGAGTCACTATGAAGCTGAACTGAAGCAGTGAAGAGGTCATTTAAAGTAACATGACCACAGGATGAACCTTGTAGGGGCATTGATTTTCAGCCATCCAAAAGTCCGTTTGAGGTTATTGCTAAAACCCACGAAGTGAATGCATGTGTGTAGGCACAGGATGTGTGTTTGTGCGCATGCATGCGCGTGTGTGTGTATGTGTGTTGCTGGGCCATGCCTGATTTCTGTTTATGACTGTATATTTATGTTTAAGATATCCTCATTGTGGATGCAAGTCAACAGTGTACGTGTCTAAATGATAATGAAACAGGACTGGACATTTGTCAATCAATTCAGAGAGCATGGCCACGGTTCACAAAAAGGTTACAGGTGAAAGTGTATCAGCCTGGGAGGCCTGCTGGATCAGTTTTACATGTGAATATCCATACTATACAAAATTGTAATCTGTAACTGTAAAAGATGATTCAGATCAACAGAACCAAACCGATAAAGCCAGGTTAAATCAGTCACTCCCCTCAAGATGTTCTACATTGCTATTTTTCAGTGTGATTATACATTGTGCTAAAAAAAAAAAAATTGAAAAACTAATGCTTCAGGCAGATATCTGGTGGCCTTGATTTCAAACTCAGTTGTAGAATGCAAAGTGTAAAAAGTGATT